CCACTTCGTGGAGCTGTCAAGTATGGCCAGGTATGAGCTGCATAGCTCAGTGGGCTTTACCTGCTAAAATGTTAAATATTTAGTTGAGTTCATAGTTCGTGTAATGCAGCGTGAAGCTATCGTCAGCTGTGCTCTTTGCACAACAGAGAGGTGTGACGTGGAAAGGGGTTCACCAACCTAGCGTCGAAGTTGTCACCTTACTGTGCAATGAGGGATTGTTGCTTCAAACCTCTGCGTTATCTCCACAGGTATTTGCAAACGTGGCTGTGGAATGTTTCTGCTTTGAGACAGCTTTAAAACAGTTTTAAAAAACCTGCATTTCTCTGCAATGAGCCAGCTTCCGTTGAGGGGCCGTGTTTAGCATGGCCTCTGGACGCAGTGATAGTACAGTACAATAATATGGGACGCCCGACGACATCGCCAATCAGAGACCTGCCCATATATAGGACAACAAACATAGACGTGCTGTGGCTCAGCCGTGTCTCGGGGGGCCTACGGCGTGGTGGAGCAACGTTGAGCAGCGTCACTGGACTCGCAATCCACGGCCCAACGGCTGGACTCCACCTGCCGGCGCAGCGGTTGAGAGACTCCGCTGCCCACGCAGCAGCAGCAGGAGCAGAATCCATGGGGAGGTCACCACAGCAGGGCGCGTGTGGTGGGGTCACGTGTGGATGCTTCTGCCTCTTCCAAGATGCCTGGCCAGCATGGAAGAGTAGGCCAAATACCCCCCAGAGCGGACTCGAGAGAGCGCCTACTCGGTGATGCACTTCCACAAGCAGTGACGCAAGCGAGCAATTGCAGGTCTGCGCCTTTACCTAGTTACAAAGCAATGCTTTGATGTTATACACTGTACAGGATTTACACGTGTCTTTTTTGTGGACTTTTGTGCCATGCATTTTACATTAAACCGTGTTCGCAGTTTGTAGTCGTAGTTTACACTGATTGAGAATTGTAATTGGTGCACAGAGTGTGATCGTGGTGGGTGTTGGCGAGCGGTTAGAGCTACGCTGCGCTACGAACCCGGCGACCCAAGTTCAATTCCCGCTAACGGCCAACACCAGTGACGAACATCATGTGAACTGGGCCTCCCCTAGGTTGACTCAGTCTCAAGTGAGTATCTGGTGTAGTGTGTAAACATCGCCACTGGGGAGACAAAGGCGGTCAGGCATGAGGCAGGCCACCCACCCCCTTGTGTACTGTGCTGGCCTTCAGAGGCGCTGCTCGCTATTAGCACTTGCCCCAAAAGTCTGTAAAGGTTATACGGGAGATCTTTGTGTTTACACAAAGCGTGCGTCTTCAGGTAGGGGGGGAGAGTGGGTGAATGGAAGCCTGGCTTCATGAACACAACCGATGCTGTTATAACAATGAAGGTGCTGTGATTTGACGAACATTAAACCTGGGATCTTTGGAGATGTCACTGCCACTGTTAAATTGATGGTTAATCGAGAGCTTTATATCAGTCCACAGATGCATGAAGGCCTCCACTCACCGTGTCGTTCCTAGAGTTTGTATGACCATACTTCACCACCCTGGTGAGTATGGGTTGGTAACGAGGGAGGGACCAGCCCGGACCGGTTCGGAGATCTCACCTCGCCACTTGGTTGGCCGAGGGTGGGAATTGAACTCGGGTGACCCAGGTTCATGGTGTTTTGCGCTAACCACTGCGCCACGACTCCAACTTACAAATGCGTAAAATAACAAAGACATCTCAAGTTGGTGTACGGATTGAGCGGTGATGCAGACCACCAAAGACAAAGCCCCTCCCCCACCCCCCGTATAACCTTAACAGACTGTTGGGGAAAGTGCTGTTAGCGAGTACCTATGAAGGCCGGAACGGCGCACAGGGGGGGTGGCCAACATTACCCCCGGCCGCCTTTGTTTCCCTCGTGGCGATGTTTACACGCCGCACCTGAGACTCATTTGAGGCTGAGTCTATCTCGGGAAGGCCCAGGACCGGTTCAGAATCGAACTCGGGCGCTTCACTACCGCTCCCCACGCTGACTGTCATCACTTTTGTCAATGACGACAAAAGCCAATCACAACAGGCCGATAAAGCCGTACGTTACAAACGACAGATACTGAGGTGTGTAAAAAGCACACGGGCGCTTTGTATCAGCAGTTCCTAAAGAAGTGCATTGCGGGCACGAATTGTTCACGTGTCTGCGTGTCGCTTCAAGCTGACGATACACATTATTGAACCGTGAAATGGTATAAACGCATCTACATTTATAGTGTGGGGCGGGGATGGGACACACACAAGAGCAGCAAACAGATTGGGTTTGGGACTTAATTCCCACCAAAGCCACGTTTTACATGTTTTGTAAAACTCTAAATCCCAAAGGGTGAAAGCTGCGGTAACACATCGGGACAGCCCCAAGAGTCGCGGGTGGAACGTGCCAAGATGCCGTGTGTGGCTGGCTGCCTTTGCTGTTTTGATTTCCGTTCACAAGCCCAGCAACAGCGCTGCATGAATCCATAACTCGAGCGTCGCATATTGGGGTGGGCGTAATTATCAATAGATATTGACTCGCTGCAATAATCATGCACGCGGTAGATTGCATGTGTACGTTGTGCCATAATCAGATGTAAATAATGCAAATTAAATCGCAATGCATTTAGAGTCATCGTCATCACCCGTGTATTTCGTGGTCGCATTTTTTTTAATAGAGCGTCACAGTCGGAGACAATTGTGTTTATCTAATTGACCACTGTCATTTGCAGTGTCATTTTTCAAATTCGGAAATTTGTACCGATGAGGCTGACACACAATGGCCTACTCCTGGTCGAATAACATCACGGGAGATCGTCAACGTCCACCATTGAAGCTGACGGCACACAGCACAGTAAATATGTTTTTCATTAATGCACCCGCGATATATTAACCAGGGCGGCCGTTAGGATCGAACCGCGAACTTCTGCAGCAAGCGGCGAAACGTGCCCGCGCTGAGTCACGTGCCGTGGTGGGCCACTCGGCCTACCACGTGGTACAACGGCTCCTGCGTGCAGAGACATCGCTCAGCAACAAGCAGCAGATTATTCACCGCACACTTAAGGCTCACTGGAGTGTTGCGTGTACTTTACGTCTATTATATACCTGCCTAGTGTTTATTTTAGCGACAATGTATGAACTGACCATCAGCCGTGATCTTTAGGACTTCACTGTGTGTGGTTTTATGGCTATTCATTAGTGGCGGTGTTTGCCAGGTTCGCGGCTTTGTCGCAGTCGGGCTCCAGCGGCCGCCCTGGTTAATACTACGGCGGTGTGTAATAACCATAACACCACGCGCTGCCTGCTTCGGAGTGGACGTTAAAGATCCCGTGACGTCGACGTCATTCGCAAGGGTAAGCCATTGTGTGCCGGCGTCTTGGGTCCAGAGAATTTCACCAATTTCACAAATTTATATCGCAAATTACTCAGCGACTCCCCCCCCCCCCTTCCTCCTACTGGCAGACTGATACCTGCAGATCACGTGATGTCATTTATGGACGGCCTCTTACCTGGTTAAAAACATTTGTTTATAGTTTGGAAATACGATCTCACGTGTTCAGTCACACACGGCATTCTCTGTTTCCTTCCGAAGCCATTACAAAAATAATCATGCGACTTTGCCAGTGAAGAATCTCGTTCAATCAAACTGTCAACCGATTTAATGGCACACACATAATGAATAGGGTTGACATGATTTCTCATAAAGGTGGAGGGGGGCGGAATGGTTAGCGCACTGTTATGAATCCGGTAACCTTAGTTTGGGGCACAGCGAACCGAAATGTGCTATGAAGAAGGACCATTGCCCGAAACGTCGCCTATTATATGTTTCGTTTTTAAGGCCACACGCGGTGTTGTTATTACTGACGGCATGTGTCGAGTGTTTAGCCACGGGAAATATTGGGAACCACTTAATCATCATCGTCGTCGTCGTCACACGACTGATGTTGACGGAGAGCAGCAACAACCATGGACGTTGACATCGAGGTAGATGAGCCCAAGGTGATCGCGCGAGTCGTAGCGGACACACGGACACTCGTGTGTGAGTGTGTGTTGGGTGGAGCGGTGGTGGAGTAGGTTAGCGCCCAGCGCTACGAACCCGGCGACCCGTGTTCGATTTCAGGTCACGGCCACCAACACCAAGTGACGATTATCTGAACCGGTCCTGGGCCTCCCCTAGCTCGACTCGGCCTCAAATGAGTGCCTGGTGCGGTGTGTAAGCATCGCTACTGGGGAGACAAAGGCGGCCGGGCGTGGTGCTGGCCACCCATCCCCTCTTGTACCGTCCCGGCCACATAGGTGCCGGTCAGTGAAGGCGGCATGTACACCAACTCGTCATGGCAAAACCTAGGCTCGTCAATTGTGGGGCCAATCCAACGGGCTGTGAAGTAGATACAATAACGTTCTCATCCAGAGACCGCTACACTCACCACAAAGTGAGGGGCCGTCCATAAATGACGTCACGCACCTGGCGGGGGGGGGGGGGTCAGACATTTGTGACGATGTGTGACGAGGGGGGGGGGGGGGTTTGAGAAATGTTACGTCACATCAAAATGCGCAAGTTTAAATGAATATAGACAACACGTTCTACTTCATTAAATAGACTTTTTAATAAATATTTTCTCCTACAACATCAGAGTGCAGCGGCACATTAAATACGCACTACAATGACAATAGTTTAAAGCGATTTGAAGCATGTTTTATTTTCAAAATGGAAATATGGTTTTTGGGGGGGGGGGGCGTCAAAAATCGTTCAAAATCGCGTGACGTCATTTATGGACGGCCCCTAAAAATACCGTAATCGATAATTGAATGGAATCCCATCAGTCCGCATTGTCAGCTGGTTGTGGAAATGGCATCGATAGACACGGAGAAGAGAGAGGGGGACACGTGGGTGGAGCAGAAGAGGTCACACGCAGGCGAGAGAGACTTTCATTCACAAGCTGTGATGATGCAATGTCAGTGTGGGGCTAGGGCCGGACTCGTCACGCCTCGGGGTCAAATAATGACAACGGAGTGGCGGCGGCGGCGGCAGCAGCCTGCAACGAGGACATGGAACGCGTCCGAGAGAGGGAAGCCAACGTGGGAGACGGAGCCATTCCATGAGCCGGTGGAGCGTGAACATCAGGCGCGTGGCGAGCGTCATTAACATAATATATGCTCGCGTGAACGTATGGACACCCTTCACAGAAGCACACTAGCCACATTAACATAATACATGCTATCATTAACATAATAGATGCCCTCATTAACATACTACATGGAATAATTGGCAGCACATGGTGCCGTTACCCGCGGTGACAGCCAATGGCAGCGCGGAGCGGGCGACGCCGTCACTTCCAGGCAGAGGGTTTGTAGGAAGCGCTGTGCGAGTGCGTGCGGTCCACACACCGCACGGGCCCTCTGAGTTATCTTCAGTCGGTTAACACATCACACACACACACATACACTTCGTGTGTGGATATGTATAGTTTATAGTGTGTCCGGCTATCGACCGCTGCTTGGCACTCGCGCTAACGGTCTGCTGAAGAAGGCTCCACGCCGAGTCGACGGGGACCGCTTGTTGTGACAGTCGGAGGGGGCGAGGGGGTTACCGCCACTCAGCGGTCAGCAGCGTCGGTCATCAGGGTCGCGAGTGTCCCTCTCAGTGGGGAGGTCACTCCACCGGGGGAGGTCGGTGACCTGCGGGTGACCGGTGGATGCTCCGAAGGTCGGACGGACACACGTGAGTGTACAGGTGATACACGTGTGTGTGTGTCAGTGTGTACAGGTGACACACGTGTGTGTGTAGAGGTGAGTGAGACACGTGTGTGTGAGTGTACAGGTGATACACGTGTGTATGTGTACAGGTGATACACGTGTGTGTGTGTGTACAGGTGATACGCGTGTGTGTGTATAGGTGAGTGAGACACGTGTATGTGTGTGTACAGGTGATACACGTGTGTGTGTGTAGAGGTGAGTGAGACACGTGTGTGTGAGTGTACAGGTGATACACGTGTGTGTGTGTACAGGTGATACACGTGTGTGTGTATAGGTGAGTGAGACACGTGTGTGTGTGTGTACAGGTGAGTGAGACTGTGTGTGTATACATGTGATACACGTGTGTGTACAGGTGAAACACGCGTGTGTGTGTGTGTACAGGTGAGTGAAACTGTGTGTATACATGTGATACACGTGTGTGTACAGGTGAAACACGCGTGTGTGTGTGTGTACAGGTGAGATACGTGTGTGTGTGTGTACAGGTGAGTGAGCACGTTACAATATTTCGTTACAATATTTCGAGCGGACGTGCATCATAATTACTCTTGTAATCATCATCCAGCCTTGGTCAATCCACTGCTGGATGATGGCCTCCTCCCCAATCCGCGGCGTAACTCCGTCTCGTCGGTGGGTGACAGCAAGCAGTGGCATCCATCACCCCGTGCTGCGGATCGGCAATTGAAAGATGACGTCATAATACAATTACTATTATGACGTCATTTACCGTGGTGATGAAATCGAGGACAGACCCGGTATCGAGCGGCTCATCAATGAAACGGCGACGTGAGTCCGTGGAGCCGAGGCTGACGTTCACAATTAGTGTGCGGGTCAGATGGTGTGAGTAAGCAAACTGTGTGTCGTACACCCTCCTCCACCCTGACACAGCCAGTGAACAGAGTTGTCACGTGACGAACGAACGCGCAAGTTTTTATCACCGCTTCACCACCGGTATCAACTTCTTGGTTCTTTCGGTAAAGTCACGTAGAAGGGAAATAATAAAATAATAAAAATAAAACATAATAAAATACAATTCTCACGACGTTTTGGCCACAACGCAATAGCCGTCCTCAGGTGAAGAACATGTCCTTTGTCAAGGCGCCCTTCCTCCCCTAACCCAGCTTAAATATACGCTGCCAAGCTTGATGGTGTTCATTCAGACGCTGTCTTTCCGACAGACCTGTTCTTCACCTGAGGACGGCCGCTTGCATTGTGGCCGAAACGTCGTGAGAATTGTATTTTATTATGTTGTATTTTTATTATTTTATTATTTCCCTTCTTTGTAACTTTACCGAAAGAACCAAGAAGATGAATCCCTGCAGTCACGAAGGGTTTAAATCGAAATTTCACCGGTGTCAAGTTTGGTCACGTGAGAACTTCATGAATTGGCCGTGTCGGGTGGAGGAGGGTTTCACGACACATCGTAACGTCGGTGGCGAAGGCCTCTGCGTTGAATTCAGCCCGACCCCGTCGAGACGACCGCCCACCACGTCGCGAGGTTTACTCGTTGAGCACAGGTGAGTTGCCACGGCCGATGTCTGGGTGATCGTGCCGGCCAGGTATGTGAGTCAACGCCATGTTGTGAGGCCTGTTTAGCCAGGAAAGCCTCACTGAGCCTCGTGACTCAGGAAGGGCCGACCAGGTTTGGGCTTCATTCAAGAAGTATCCCTCTGGGGCATACAGCATAACGACCAGTCTGTAGAAACACAGCAGAATCCTGTGCATACCATAACGCTGTGCATTCATTAAATATAGGGACCAAATCCCATATACAGCGACTGTCAAGCAAATGAAAACCTTACTACAAAATAAATGGCACCTAAACAAAAAGTACAAAATACAAAATAGTGTCTACATCATTAGACCTCCTTTGCCAGTACCAAAATATAATAATAGGGGTTTTCCCCTTTTGTCTGGCAACAAAACTGAAACCTTTTTACAAGGAATCATATGTGCATTAACCACAATACTTGTGGTCAAAATGCAAACAAAAAACACACTGATAATATATGCATTGTCCTTGAAACTGATTGGTCCACACCAGAGACAGCTTTCTTTTGAGCCTCGTCTCCATTGGTGCTCGACCAGAGGACGCCAAAATGCGTACAGCTCAAAGACAATTGTGGTTAATGAACACATGATTCCTTGTAAAAAGGTTTCAGTTTTGTTGCCAGAAAAAATGGGAAAACCCCTATTATTACACAAAATAGTGATCACAATAAAGATGACGATAACTGTCACGCTTTTGGCAAAAACGTTTTGGACCTTGGCCTTTTTCTGTCCTTGGCTCTGAGATTTGGGATGCTCTCTGCCTGCAGAACTGCACCTGGCCACTGAGATTCTTCTAGTTAGAAAGAAACTAAAAACTTCTTCATTTTCAAGGCTATGTTAGACAAACTCATTGTGCGTGTGTTTTTGTATACATTTTACTGTAAGGCGCACCTGAAGCCCTTTACCGTGTCTTTTGTGCCTTTCAAAACGTCAATACATAAATAAATGAACTGAAGGTCGAATGCGACTTTGAAACTCCCTCTCCGTGGCCAACCGCACGCAGACACCCTGCCGGAGCGTTCTCCAAGCGTAACGTGAGCAGGAAGCGGCGTGTCGACTGGGCAGAGAGTGGCGCGTGCAGAGACGAGAGCGGCCGAGTGCGCTGTGGCCAGGTCGCAAACACTGTCCTCCGGGACCCGATTAGTGCGCCTAAGATGCTCGCGGTGACGGATAAGTATCGTTAGCGGGCCGCTGTCAAGTGGTCGGCCATGTTTGGTCGCGGTCCGTTTGATTTGTGTGAAATGAAGTTGCGGGCCGCAGATTCCGCGAGCCCGGCGGGTAACCCGAGTGTCCACGGCAGGTAACCCGAGTGTCCACGGCAGGTAACCCGAGTGTCCACGGCGGGTAACCCGAGTGTCCACGGCGGGTAACCCGAGTGTCCACGGCGGGTAACCCGAGTGTCCACGGCGGGTAACCCGAGTGTCCACGGCGGGTAACCCGAGTGTCCACGGCGGGTAACCCGAGTGTCCACGGCGGGTAACCCGAGTGTCCACGGCGGGTAACCCGAGTGTCCACGGCGGGTAACCCGAGTGTCCACGGCGGGTAACCCGAGTGTCCACGGCGGGTAACCCGAGTGTCCACGGCGGGTAACCCGAGTGTCCACGGCGGGTAACCCGAGTGTCCACGGCGGGTAACCCGAGTGTCCACGGCGGGTAACCCGAGTGTCCACGGCGGGTAACCCGAGTGTCCACGGCGGGTAACCCGAGTGTCCACGGCGGGTAACCCGAGTGTCCACGGCCGGTAACCCGAGTGTCCACGGCCGGTAACCCGAGTGTCCACGGCGGGTAACCCGAGTGTCCACGGCCGGTAACCCGAGTGTCCACGGCAGGTAACCCGGGAGAGATCGGCAGCTCGCAAGGCTCGTCGTGTCCACGTGGGCAGGATCAACTCGCGGTCCCCTTTGTGTCTTCCTCAGCATGGCTGCCGGCACAGAGGAGGGGACATTGACAACGCCCGTGAGTGGACACCAATTGCACCCCCCACCTCTCCTTTCCGTTTCTTATTCATTTTCAATCCACTGCTGGATAGGGCCCTCCCCACGCCGTGCGGGTATGCGTGGGCGTTATTTGACCGCGCTGCTGAGTGGGTGCGGGTCGGTGCAAGAGCCGTGTTTACACGCATCAATGTGACATTGAAACAGAGCACCCCGTATACATTCAGCGGGCCTATGACCGACTTATCCGGAGTGCGCCCGATCTCATGAGGCCTCGGCAGCTAAGCGGGGCGGGGCCTGGATAGTGCTTGGGCGGGCGACCGCTACCGTGCGCAAGTCGTCATGTCGTGGTGGAGGGCCCTCTTCCGGCAGTGGATCCACGGAAAGCGCCGTACACGTTTAATATTCACCACGCCGCTGTTTGCAGGTGTCGCCCGAGCACGACCCAGACAACGAACATTTCTCCTTCCAGAACGACTACCCTCCAAACCCGCAGCAACGCGGCACCGTGCTGGGTGAGCAATGCAAGGACAAATGATCCCCCCTCTAGCCTGAACAGATTGTTGGGGCAAGTGCTGTTAGTGAGCGGCGCCTATGAAGGCTGGCACGGCACACAGCATCACGCCCGGCCGCCTTTATTTGCTCTCTCGTGGTGATGTTTACACACCACAACAGGTACTAATTTGAGTCGACTGATAGTTCGATTCCCGCTCACGGCCAACGCCGTGAGCCTCAACGTCATGCAAAGCCGCTGTGTCATCACAATGGTCGCCTGCTTCAAAGGCCAATCAGGAGCTACCATTAAATTATTTATTCACCTGGGAAGCCCACTGAGCTATATAGCTTTTTTTCAGAAGCGACCTGTCCACAAATAATAGCTCACCAAAGTGGCTCATCGCGTGGACAGTTATAGTAGCCAAATACTCTAAATGCAAGTTGATTCTAAACTTGGAAGGAAAAACCGGAGGACCCGGAGAAAAATCCACGCGGCTTTAGGGAGGCCATGTAAACTTAAATTATACAGGCGTCAGGTTTCAGAAATGAATCCACGACCTCCTGCATACCAGGCGAAGGAGTTAACATCTCGCCACCGCTGGCTATTGCACGCCGAGTGACGTCGTGGGTGAATGTGTTCAGGGAACAGACCCAATGTTCTCCTCATGCGGGTTGTGAAATTACAGCACGCAAAGGTGCGCTCCTGCTGCTACCGCTCACAAACAGCAAGAAGGCAAGACTCCCATCATGCCTTGCGCGCAATGTCATGCTAAAACCGCTTTGCCTGCTCATTGATGGGACTGGGAGAATTTTAGTACATGCCGTGTAGTGGTCACATGACATACATGCAAGGGATGATGGGAGTCATGCCTTCCTGCCGTTTGTTAGCAGTGGTAGCAGCACACGTTTTTTACGTGCTGTTATTTGTTATTGTTTACAGCCCACACATAGATTATTCTGGTGTGTTGATGGGTTTTGTTGTCGCTTACGGAACGGGTTTCCGATCGAGCGTGCGGTTTACTGACCCTCAATGTCCACGCTGGCTGCAGCATTCCTGTCGGGTGAAGAGCGCGACTTGTACAGCGAGCACAACGTCAGATTCTGGATGAACTCGGGAACTGCTCCCCACGACAGCCGGGTAACTCGCACAAGGCATCCGCAATCCGTCCGCCGCCCGCCCGCCCGCTCACTCACTCTCACCCGCAAATCACTAACTTGCGTAAAGACCACGCGCGGCAACGTCGCCCCCACTGGCAGACTATACCCATCCGCGAGGCACCGCGCCTGCGGGATGCCATTGGGTGATGAGGATGGTGCAAATACCAAATACAGCGCGATTGGGTGTTTAAAAGTTCGTAACCTCAAGTCGCCACGGTGGCGAGATGTTAACTACCTCGCCTGGTATACAGGAGGTCGTGGGTTCCAACCTGACCCTGATGCCTGTTGTATATATTTGGAGTTTGCATGTTCTCCCTGTGATCGTCCTCCAGTTTTTCTCTCCACATTTATAAACAAGCGTTTAGAGTATTTGGCTGCTATAAATGGCCACATGATGAGCCACTTCGTTGTGCTGTCATTTGTGGCCAGGTCGCTTCTGAAAAAGAGCTACATAGCTCAGTGGGCCTTCACTGGTAAAATAAAAATTGTTACAAATAATAAAATAATCTCTGTGTTTTTGTTCGTGTTTCTTGTGCCAGCCTTTCGGGAATATTATGAAACACCTGAAGGAATTGTTTCCTGGCGCCAGCCATAGCACGTCCATCATGAAGTTCCTCGCACACGTGGTCCGCATCGAATGTGAGTGACTCGGAGTTCATCTTTTTCCGGGATTATTCGCCGCAGTCAAAGCCTGGCAGGGCCTCTAGGCGAGTGGGGGGGGGGGGGGGGGGGGTCAGTAGGCAGCGTCGCAGGTTTAGGTATCAGAATCTTTATCAGAATCGGAATGTTTATTTCTACTGGAGAAATCTGATGAGCTATGAAGCTCTTTTTCATGAATGTCTGGTGGGGGCGGGTCAGAAAGTTACAACAACAAACAATACAAAAAAATTATAGGACTGCAAAGAATAGGACAGGTAAGCAAATTACTAAGATAAATACGTTAAATAGACAATGTAGTAAGAACAGTCCCAGACCCCACTAAGACAACACCACACAGTGCCTCTGTAGTGATGCACTCAGAGACACGAGGAGGAGGAGGCACTCTATTTATCACAGCCTTCACAAGTTAACGACACTTCAGTCAGGACAGCCGACAGACTTGGCTGACTGTCAACGCCGAGAAGGGGAAGACGGTGACGAGACTCCAGCAGCCCGACGGGATTCCACTCCACGCAACAGCCCCGAACGTTCGCTCAGGGTCCCCTTTTATCCTCCCGGTGCGCCCTCGCTACTCCCCCGGCCACGCCCCCCTTCCAGAACCTGCTCGTGGGTTCCCCGCTTACCTCACATGCCCCCTCTATCACCTTTGCCCTACATCTCTCTCTGCTTATCACGTGATCTGCTGACAGACAGGGCTGCTGCAACCGCAGATCCCCTTTTCTGCCAGCAACCAGCGCTATGTTCCATAGTGACCCATTCCATGTCACTACACCTCAATACACGGGTAAGGATAAAAGTTACCCAGAAGGGTAAGCAAAGGCATCCCGTTATCTGCACTCCTCAGCGCTTGTTTGTCGATAAACGAGAATTATTTTTTCTTCCCCTCTGTTTGGTTTTTCGCCGGTCCGCTGTGGGATCCGGTTTGGCCCGAATGTTTGAACCAGCTGACCAGAGCCCTGCTCCGGGTTTAACACAAAGCACTCAGTAGGGAAGTGTCGAACGTCACTGAATGTTTGAGAATAAACCAAAATAATACATTTGTCATCGTAGCCAAAGCCGTCGATGCCTCCACACCTTGCCCAGGAGAAAGCCTCGGGGAAGCTTCCTCCGTTAATACAATATCTCTCTTGGCCTTTCCCAAGCGACAGGCTGCGTTTGCATGGGGGAATGGAATGGAGTGTGGCGTGTGGACCCTAGAGGCCGCTAAGTACGGGCCACCTTTTACGTGGACTGTGTTATCCACGGTCAACACTCGATTATGAGAGGTAATTGTGGGGATAGGTGGCCCGGATAGAACACACAACACAGATAATGCCAAACGCGGGAGATAATCTACGAGCGCGTACCTACGGTAAAGAGTGTTGAGTTCAACACTCCTCGGATAAATGGGGCAGGGGGGTGAAGATAAGATGGAGAAGGTGTCGTCCGTTTCCCTCGCTTGTCATAGCAGTCGACGAGTGGGGAGCAGGTAACAATGACTCAAACCAGCATGCTTCGTCGAGGTATATTTTTTTCCGTAAGAACAGTTAACTTGCAACCTGGATACAAAAGTAGAGGTGCAGCCCCACTATACAGAGCGCCTCTACGGGTTATTGAGGCCTGCTCTTCGACGCTACTGGCCAGACATCTTCAAACTGGTTGTCGTACTCGCGGACCGCTAACTGCCACACCGCAGCATAATTCCGGCACGCGCTCCGCATAACGCGTTTGTCATCACGCCCTCCGCCGTGCCTCACTGTCGGTGGCCCGCAGACCACACGGAGAGCATCGTTCGTCTGTCGAGCTTCTGCGACCTGGTGCGCTGGTTCGGGCCCTTCAGGGAAATCGTCTACAATCAGAAGAAGACGTGCGTCTGCCTGTGCAACGTGAGTTCCGCTCGTGTAGTCACGCGGGGATGGGCCGCCGGGCGTGCAACCGAACAGACGGCCCGGTGGGAATTGCGAAATTAGCGACGGAAACATTCGTCAACCAAGCGTGTTTATCTTAGTCAACGATGACCGTGAGTGGATGACAGTTGTCGAGCGTGACGATGACTCCCACTGTCCACTAATACCACCACCACCACCACGACCATCATCATCATCACTATCACCATAATAATCACTGCCATCATCACCACTATCATCTACTCACCAGAGACCAGAGTGCGACTGTGACGAGGTGAAACTAACGAGTCTGAATGAAGACGGAGACTGAGGTAACTTAGTAACGTCATCGGAGACTGAGGTGCCCTGAGGAAGACCGATGATGGTAACTGGCTGTGGATGCATTGACAAAGATTAACCTGGTTCACTGGCTGGGAAGGAAATTGTGCGCCCCTCTCATCAACATTTTAAAACTCTCAACGCTGAGGCGACGCTCAACCTCCCCACACAGAGACTGAGATTGAGACTAACACAATCCTCGCCGATGAACAAAGTGATTCTGTGTTGTCCTCTTGATGGTGTCTTCCCGCACCAGCTGGAGTTGCTCATGACGGAGTCACAGGTGCTCGTGTCGAAGCAGAAAATGAGGTATGGGCAGAGGAAGGAGCACACAGATCGGAGGTCAGAGGTTACACGATGCAGAAGCACTGGAGTTGGGCGGCTGAGCGGCACCACGTTTTTCACCGTAGTTCATACCCAGTGGCCGCCCTGGTTAATACCGTTCACCATAAATACTACACGCCGTGCACTTCACAGTGCACGTTAAAGATTTCGCGACATTTTAGGAAAACAGGATGCCGTGTGTGCCGGCGTCGTTGTCCAGATTTGCCAAATTAGTAAAATGACCTCGACGATTAAGTGGGAAAAGCCACGCGGCAACATCGCCCTCTGCCGTGAAACGAACGCAGACAAATACCGAAGCACGGCCCTCCGTGTTGGCCTCGCGCTGTGCGAGCGGCGCAACTACGATGTGCTTATGGTCTGATTTAATTTTCAGTGCCATTAGCCGGCAGATTTCTTTCATCAATTTGACGGTCGCACGATGGATTGTCTATGAAGCACAGGTCGCATATCTGACCACCACGTATCCGCCCCGACCAATGAACCACCCCCACCCAGTGCAGTACTTGTACACGCTGGAACTGGCATCGTCCGTAGATTTTCACATATTTGACCTCTTCACAAATCCGACTGTACCCGAGTCCCCAACGATTAGGATATTGAATACGCGACGTGGTATTGTATCCCGTGCCATGGGATTTTGCCATCGGGCCATCGTGATCACACTGGACTTGCAGTGTAGGGATCGCCGGTTCGATTTGATCTCCCGGCGTGCCAGTTAAAACAATGGGCACGTTTCTTAGGTCCCACCACCTCTGTCCACCCAGCGGTACAAATTACTTCACCACAGTCGGTCGATTGTAAGGCGGCATGTGGTGGGGTAGAGTGTGGGTGCTCCCATACCTTGCAAGATTTCTGCCCAGCGGGGAAAAGTATTCCAAAATTCCCCGGTGGCGAGATGTTATCCGCCTCGCCTGGTATACAGGAGGTTGTAGGTTCAATCCCGACCCTGACAACTCTATATTTGAAGGTTGCATGGATTCTTCTCTGGATCCAGTTTTTTCCTCCACATTTAGAAACATGCGTTTAGAGTATTTGGCTACTATCAATTGGCACGTGATAAGCCACTTCGTTGAGCTATCAATTGTGCCCAGGCCGCTTCTGAAAAAGAACTTTCTAGCTCCGTGGGCCTTAACTGGTAATACAAATAAAAATATAGTTTAGTTTATTACAAAATTTCCTCTCGAGGGGCTCTCTAGTGCTCGCTGTGGAGTGGACGGTGGATGTCCCTCTGCCACACCTTCCGCCAGCGGTGGCACGAGCGAGCAATTGCAGGGGCTGCGCCTTCACCTTTGCGCCTTTGCCACGCCCCCCCCCCCCTTTTCCTCTTAGCTGGTTCGCGGGTCACATGAGCAGCGCAGCGGCGGAGGAGAAACTGCGGGGGCAACCGAGCGGCACCTACCTGGTGCGCTTCTCCGAGTCGGAGCGCGAAACGGGCAGCTTCGCGCTGTCCATCAATGTCGCTGACGGTGGTGGCACGGAGCACGTGACCATCCAGGTGAGCCGACTTCACCGCCCCACCTCCACCTCCTCTTCTGCCACGGCGACCGGGGTCCCTCCTGCCGCAGACCGTTTTCTCCACTGGTTCGTTGCAGAGGTTCGCGGTTCGATCCCCGCGGCCGCCCTGGTTAATGCTACCCCGGGCTATTAACCGTTAATGCTGCACGTTGTCTGCTTCGCGGCGGACGTTAAAGATACCACAATGTTACGTATGTATGTTGAACCGCTTCCGCGCCGTACGCAGCCAACTATGCCAATCGGAGGTGCAATCACGAGTGAGAGGAAGCCACGTGTACTGATGTCGTGGTCCAAATTTGCCAAATTATAATAATTGTCTGCAAAATAATGATAATAGAGCCCCCCGATTTGTAGGCCGGTGCTGCCTGCAATTTGTGGCACACGGGGACACCTGCCATGAGACGGTCCCCTTGGCGAGACCGCAGGCAGGGCACTGGAATTCTTGCGATGAGAGGTGATGTGAGGTGCTCGTGAATTGCCGAGGCATCTTAGCGTCCTCACAAATGCAGTTCCTTATCTTTAACATAAATATTGGCGTGGGAGTGGTGGTGCAGTGGTTAGCACAACTTTACGATGAGCCCAACGGCCTGGGTTCGATTCCCGGCAGCGACTAACATCGGTGGCCAGAGGTGACATCCATGCCGGTCCTAGACCCCAACCCCTGCTTCACCAACCTACACCGACCATTGTGGTGAAGTATGGTTAATAAAAGTTCCCAATGACGTACACAACATGGGGAAGCAGTGCAGTGGCACGAGTAAATTAAGGCATCGGTAGCATGCCTGCGTGTTAAACGGTATTGTGCCTACATGTTAAACGGTACCGTGCCTGCATGTTAAACGGTATTGTGCCATTGTTTCTGCTATCATCAACATTAACTCTGATGTGGGCCTCACCATCGCAGGCAACTCAACCTCCGTGGGCTCGTGTGCCGTGGGCTCGTGTACCGTAGATTCGTGTACCCTGGGCTCGTGTACTCTGGGCTCGTGTACTCTGGGCTCGTGTACCGTGGGCTCGTGTACTCTGGGCTCGTGTACCGTGGGCTCGTGTACTCTGGGCTCGTGTACCTTGGGCTCGTGTACCGTGGGCTCGTGTACCGTGGGCTCGTGTACCGTGGGTTCGTGTACCGTGGGCTCATGTACCGTGGGCTCGTGTACCGTGGGTTCGTGTACCGTGGTTTCGTGTACCGTGGGCTCGTGTACCTCTGGGCTCGTGTACCGTGGGCTCGTGTACCGTGGGTTCGTGTACCGTGGTTTCGTGTACCGTGGGCTCGTGTACTCTGGGCTCGTGTACCGTGGGCTCGTGTACCGTGGGCTCGTGTACCGTGGGTTCGTGTACTGTGGGCTCGTGTGCTTTGTAATCATTTCCACCGTTGTCTTCCCTGCGAGCCATTCCGCTGATCACTTCCTCCCAAGCTCTCTCCATCCTGTTTCATTCTTGAACGTTCTTCTTCGGTTCACTGAGTGCCCCCCTTGCTTCCTTGAAGTCGTCAAGCAGCATTCTCCTGTCTCTGCCTCTTGGGGATTTTGCCAACAATCTTATCTTTGATAATTGGTTCTTTACCCTTCTATCTGGCAACACAACTGACACCTTTTTGCAAGGAGTCATGTTTGCATAGACCGCAATACCTGCAGTCATAATACAAACAAAAGAACATAACTCTGATAATGTGCACTGTCCTTGCACATTATCAGAGTTATGTTCTTTTGTTTGTATTATGACTGCAGGTATTGCGGTCTATGCAAACATGACTCCTTGCAAAAAGGTGTCAGTTGTGTTGCCAGATAGAAGGGTAAAGAACCAATTATCATATTTTTACTGGCAAATGAGGTCCCCATAGTGTAGATGCTTGCCCCGAGCTCTCATACTCTGATGGTGCATTGTCCTTGAGTTGTGCGCCTTTTGGCGTCATCTGGTCCAACCCATATGAGACTAGGCTCGAAGGAAAGCTGTCTCGGGTGTGGACCAATCAACTTCAAGGACAGTGCACATTATCAGAGTTATGTTCTTTTGTTTGTATTATGACTGCAGGTATTGCGGTCTATGCAAACATGACTCCTTGCAAAAAGGTGTCAGTTGTGTTGCCAGATAGAAGGGTAAAGAACCAATTATCATATTTTTACTGGCAAATGAGGTCCCCATAGTGTAGAATCTTATCTTTCATAACTCGACGACTGTCAGGCTTGACGCCTGTTAGGAATGTGCCCAATCCACACGTTTAGCTTGCCTCGTCTGGGTGACCGGCAGGAACTGATTTACTTTTGCCATGTGTATTTATATACTTGATCTATTTTTACATTTCCTACACTTTGCACTCCAGTCGTTTATAAAGTTTGTTATAACTGTCTGACCCGTTAAAAAGTGCTTCATAGATCATCGGATTTCTCCAGGATCAATAAAGATTTTGAATCTGATCATCAACTTGTAGTAGATGCTCACCGCCAATATTGTGATTCATCACTGATTATTTGGTTATAGATTTCATTCGGACTTCATGGATCTTCACCTATCCTCAAGCCGTCCTCCGCCGTGTCTAACTGCTACATTCGTTTGCGTGAGAATTATTCTCACTGCCATTAACAATAATAACTGCCCCATCGGTGACCGTTTGTACACCGCTTGGCCATCTGATTTGTTTGGCTGTGCAGGGGGGTGGAAGGTTTCACGACAGATTATTTTTCCTCATCATTACGTGGTGTGTATGAATCATACACATCATCATCAGCCTCATCAAACACAGCATCATCATTAACATCAACAGCCGCGGTTCGCTACTAAGTTGCGGTGATGTCAACACTACGCTTGTGCCAGGCTATGTGCACTTTGAGACCACTTGAAGTGTTGAAGGCTCGCTGACAGATGATCACGGGACAGACGCAGCTGCCATGGGTTGACTGGCTGAGATGACTGGCAGATCCACCAGCAGCGTCCCCCACGTCAACTTGCTGTGTTTTAGCCACCCAGTATTCTGTACGTTATTGTGAGCATCGCTCCTCTGCTCTCCGTCGTTGTTGGAGAGCAACTGCCTCCATCTGCCCAGTAGCATCCTTCACAAGCCTCCTCCATAGAGGTTGATCTTGACACCGCTGGTACCCGTCATTGCCAAGTACACTCAGCTCCACATCCTTCTGCACCAGATCAGTCCATCTTTTCTTGAGCCCCCTCTATCTGGCTATACAGAAGCTGCTTGGGCATGCGCTGGCTGGGCATGTAGGCCACGTGACCCAGCCAACGCCTTACCTGCCGGAGGAGCTCACCGATGATGGTACTGTGTCCAGACCTGTCAAAGATCTGTGAGCTCCTCACAAATTCTAGTCTGCAGGTTAAACCCAGGATGCATCGTAAGCAGGCCACCCTGAATGTTTCAAACTGACGCAGCGTCATCACACTCATCGTGCGTCATCACCGGCATCCTTCCATCCTTCCTTCCACAATGTCAATCCGTCAAACCTGTTGAGAATGCGTCCGATCGTTTGCCCTTCCCTGGATTGTTTTGTCGAGACTTCTCTCCTCGGGAAACGCCTCTCTAGAACCTCCCCGCATTACTCGTTGGTCTCCCCTCCCTCCCTTCCCCGCGCACGCCGTCTCGCTCGCTCGCTCGCAGGGCGACCCCAAGATGGTGAACTCTGAGGTGGCGGCGAAGAGAGACGATCCCAACCTGTGGCTGCAGTACTGCGCGGACAGCGACGGGCGCACGTACCCCAGCCTGCCCGTGCTGATGAACAAGCGGCTCATGGAAGACTCCTTCCACGATGACCACGAGGACACCGCCTGCGAGACGGCGTGCCCCGACCTGCCGCTCAACGCCATATTCAAGGCCTACAAGAACAAGACCTGAGGCCTGCATCACGTGGGGCCGTCTGCGTGCTTCGGGAGCATTTTTGCCACGCGTATCGGTTGTAAAACGATCACTTTTTTGTACCCGTCATCTCCGTCGTCGTCAGCCGTCGTCCGCACACTGCATGAAGGTCTCCCCAAGCCGTCGCCATCTCTCACCGTCTCAGCCCGCACGGAGCCGGCAGCGTCACTCCATCTCTGCGGCGGTGTCCTCCCTGGCGTGTTCCCTCCTTGCCAGGCTGTGAGCGCCCGACTCGCAGTCAGACGTTTCGTGCGGCTCTGCAGCGTCCGTAGCTGCACTGATCGAATACCGGAGGGGAGTATTTTCGACCTCACAGCCACAGCATTTGTAGTTTTAGCGCCACGCTCCCTTCACTTCTCCCACTGCCAGGGGCATGTTACCGAGACAGAAGTGGCAGAGGTGTGAATGTTAACGTTTGTTTGACCACCAAAGTTATTTTTTAAATTTCCGCTTTGGCCCTCGGTAAGGAATAGGTTCCCCACTCCTTGCTTACACCTCTCACACCTGAACTGGACCCATTCAACAGGGGCGCAGCTATGGGGCATGGCAGCGAATGCGACGCACCGGGGCACAGTTGGCCACAAGGGGGCCCCGAAGCGACAGATAAACAAGTAACAAAATGTGAATAAAACGTATTTAGAAAAATATGAATACAAAATTACAATGCGATCTACCGTGGACCAAGCCCGTATCAATAGAGCAGCATCGAGTTGTTTGATGCACCTCTTTGAGGAAATCCTCGAGCGATGGGCTGGCATGAAAGACGCAACGATTACTTAATTGTGAGTATTGAAACCTTTACATCTTTTTGTTATTAAGACCGTCACCGTGAGACTGGTGTTGTGAGATACTTCACAACAACATATAGTCCTAGCCTACATGCTATTGTATACGAGGTTAACAATGATCCGTAGCCATTTCAGTAAAAGTGAGTCGGGAGAAAGGAGGGGGGGGGGCACATTTGGATCTTGCATAGCCCCCCCCACTCCATTGAAATAGGGAGTTGTGCCCCTGCCATTCCACTTCACTCTCAACCGACGTCACCCTCGCTGAACCTCACTCACTCTTACTTCCCGCTCGCCTGCCCTTTCCACATATGCATGCACGTTGAACTTCGTTCGCACCGTACGTACCCAGGCCACGCTTGCAAGCGAGACTTCTCCTCGCCTCTTGAGCTCTCGCCTGGTCAAACAAAACAAACCCGACTTGATTCTGCCACGCTCACCCCTACCGGAGGTGGTCCTCACCGGCAACGTATCTGCCTCGCCGCACGCTACCGCTCCATCACTTGCACTCGTTGATCTCTGGCTGTGCCCTCACCAGCTTCATTCAATCCTCACCCAGTCTCACCTTTTCCGGCGTTGCCTGCATTACTTTGCTTTCATCGCTCAGAACCTGTAAGCAGAATTAAAATCAGAAAATGTATTTAGACTGCCATTCGATGAGCTATAATATAAAGCTCTTTTTCACAGATGTTCAGTCGGGGCGGGTTAGAATGTTACTACAACAAACAATGCTAAAACACGACAATAGTGAAAAGTACAAGAAAGGTAAACAAATCAACCAAACACAAACAAATACAACAACTCAACCATCCTACCAGGCAAAGCCCACCGAGGGATTCACTCATTTTTTAGAAGCCACCTTATACAATCGGGCCTAACTTCCTTGCTAATGTCATCAACCAACTTTGCTAATCTTATCCAAGGCATGCTTTTTCAACGGTTCTATTTAACTTCACCTGTGTTTGTCGTGGCCAGATCTTGTAATCAAAAGTTAGTCTACTTTCTGTTGTCCAATCAATTCCACATTTTGCACACGTACTCAGATCCGGTGACAATTCATCAATTAATTGCCTCCTTTCAAGCAATTACAATTTTTGTATGGACGGCTTATTAATTATATATTTTCATGTAGGTCAAAAACGCCGTTGTCCCTAAACTGTAGAATCGTCAAACGAAGTTGTTTATAAAACCGTATTTTTTTTACTTTTTTTAAGGAGTTTATTTTATAACAGAAATTCAAGTCGGCTTTTTTGAGTTCAGTATTTGGTGATACTGGTGCTGATACTGGACATATTCGAGGAAGAGCTTTATAGCTCATCGGATTTCTCCAGTAACACATTCGTTAGGAACAAGACATTTAACTGGTGACGTTTTGGGCAATGACCCTTCTTCAGAGCACAGAGAGGTTGAGTGACGTTGCCCAACATATACTTTTTAAGGTCACGGTGTTATTGACGAACGTCTGGAGTTTTAAAAATACATTTTGAGTTCACTTTCTATGAAGTATTGAATGACGTCACGGTCCAGATAGCCGGTTCTTGATTTTGCGTATTGGTGAGTGTAATGTTTCCAGGTTTATCCCGTTAATATGATGTACAGTGAGGGAAAAAAGTATTTGATCCCCTGCTAATTTTGTACGTTTGCCCACTGACAAAGAAATAATCAGTCTATAATTTTAATGGTAGATTTATTTGAACAGTGAGAGACAGAATAACAACAAAAAAAATCCAGAAAAACGCATGTCAAAAATGTTATTAATTGATTTGCATTTTAATGAGGGAAATAAGTATTTGACCCCTCTGCAAAACATGACTTAGTACTTGGTGGCAAAACCCTTGTTGGCAATCACAGAGGTCAGACGTTTTTTGTAGTTGGTCACCAGGTTTGCACACATTTCAGGAGGGATTTTGTCCCACTCCTCTTTGCAGATCTTCTCCAAGTCATTCAGGTTTCGAGGCTGACGTTTGGCAACTCGAACCTTCATCTCCCTCCACAGATTTTCTATGGGATTAAGGTCTGGAGACTGGCTAGGCCACTCCAGGACCGTAATGTGCTTCTTCTTGAGCCACTCCTTTGTTGCCTTGGCCGTGTGTTTTGGGTCATTGTCATGCTGGAATACCCATCCACGACCCATTTTCAATGCCGTGGCTGAGGGAATGAGGTTCTCACCCAAGATTTGACGGTACATGGCCCCGTCCATCGTCTCTTTGATGCGGTGAAGTTGTCCTGTCCCCTTAGCAGAAAAACACCCCCAAAGCATAATGTTTCCACCTTCATGTTTGACGGTGGGGATGGTGTTCTTGGGGTCATAGGCAGCATTCCTCCTCCTCCAAACACGGCGAGTTGAGTTGATGCCAAAGAGCTCCATTTTGGTCTCATCTGACCATAACACTTTCACCCAGTTGTCCTCTGAATCATTCAGATGTTCATTGGCAAACTTGAGACGGGCATGTATATGTGCTTTCTTGAGCAGGGAGACCTTGCGGGCGCTGCAGGATTTCAGTCCTTTACAGCGTAGTGTGTTACCAACAGTTTTCTTGGTGACTAAGGTCCCAGCTGCCTTGATATCATTGACAAGATCCTCTCATGTAGTTCTGGGCTGATTCCTCACCGTTCTCATGATCATTGCAACTCCACGAGATGAGATCTTGCATGGAGCCCCAGGCCGAGGGAAATTGACAGTTCTTTTGTGTTTCTTCCATTTGCGAATAATCGCACCAACTGTTGTCACCTTCTCACCAAGCTGCTTGGCGATGGTCTTGTAGCCCATTCCAGCCTTGTGTAGGTCTACAATCTTGTCCCTGACATCATTGGAGAGCTCTTTGGTCTTGGCCATGGTGGAGAGTTTGGAATCTGATTGATTGAACGCTTCTGTGAACAGGTGTCTTTTATACAGGTAAAAAAGCTGAGATTAGGAGCACTCCATTTAAGAGTGTGCTCCTAATCTCAGCTCGTTACCTGTATAAAAGACACCTGGGAGCCAGAAATCTTTCTGATTGAGAGGGGGTCAAATACTTATTTCCCTCATTAAAATGCAAATCAGTTTATAACATTTTTGACATGCGTTTTTCTGGATTTTTTTGTTCTTCTGTCTCTCACGGTTCAAATAAACCTACCATTAAAATTATAGACTGATAATTTCTTTGTCAGTGGGCAAACGTACAAAATCAGCAGGGCATCAAATACTTTTTTCCCTCACTGTACATGCTTGATGTTGCACTCAGGTTGGTCGGTTTGACCTTGTCGTAGCGTATGTGACTGGCAGTTAGCAAAGCTGTGAGAACCAAGAACAGAACTCAGGGTCACATAAAATCGTCATTATTGTTATCATCTTTTTTTAAAATCAAAAAATGTCCAGTGCAAGTGTGTATTTTTTGTACCTGTGCTTAACATTCCGCGTACCGTCGTAATCATCGTGTGACTTGCCACTGCTGGAGGAGCAACGCCCTGCCACCTTTGTCTCCCTTGGCTCATCTTGTGCGGTGGCAGCAGCAGCCACAGGAGCTGTCTTGAGTGTTTGGACTTCATCTTCCTGGCGTCGGGCTTCCGACGTCTTCCTCCGCTTATCTTGCCTTGGCCGTATCCACTCCGTGGTTTATTCGTATTAAGTTTCGCAACGTTGATTAGCGAAGTGAAACCGGAGTGGTGCCGCCTGGTGTTGGTGCGTGCGTTGCCAAGTTGTTGGCCTGCGTTTGTCGTAGTCCTGTGCTTGGCAGTGTCATCTGCATCACGCCGGGTCTCATTAACGTATTTTTTAAATAGATATCCTTAAAAATAAACTTTTACGTACGCTTTGCCTCAAGATCCACTGTGTCTCGCTTGACAGTGTTGAACCTGTCTCGTTTTGAATTTGAGGCTCCATCGTGGACGGTAAAAAAGCTAAAGGCAACTTCTTGCCCACGCCGCTGCTGGCAGAGGACGCCCTCGAGAGCTCCTCGAACGGTTGTTTTTTGGTCTCCTCTTCCACACGCTGGCCAGACGTCTCGGAGGAGGTGTGAGTAGCCACACTCTGCCCCACCACCACCACCGCGTGACACGCCGATCGACTGCGGCGTACCTCCTCGCTGGGCGGACAGAGGCGTCGGGGAGTTAAATAAACGTGCCGCTTGCTTCAACTGCCGCGCCTGGAGATGGAACCGGCCCTCCGGTTTTCCCCTCCACATGTACAATGAACATCACGCGTTGAGAGTATTCGGCTGCTCTAAATTTCGACAAGGTCAAGATAAGCCACTCCGCTGTTCGACACAGCCACCTTCGCCCGCTGTAGCTCGCCGTGGCGGTGGCTCTGTGATCTCACATTAACATGCTAATCTCTCACATTAACATGCTAATCTCTCACATTAACACGCTAATCTCTCACATTAACACGCTAATCTCTCACATTAACATGCTAATCTCTCACATTAACACGCTAATCTCTCACATTAACATGCTAATCTCTCACATTAACACGCTAA